TCGGCTAATTAATTCACAACCGCTTGGTTCAGCCAGCGCAGCCGAATGTACCTGTAAGATCACTTTCCTGGCCGAAAACACAAGTGAATCTAACTGAAACTAACAAAACCTAAGTGGAAGCTAGCCAAACCTAAGTGAATGTGAAGCCTTCGCGTCGGCGGCGTTGCGCCGACGTCTTGAACCGATGCGGCCCTTCATGGGGCCATCTCCGGGGGCCGTCTTGGACATGTCTTGGGTTGCCCCCCCCCTCCCTTCCCCCTTTCCCTGCCCCGTTCCCCTCCTCCTTTCCCCCACGGTCTAGCCTTCGCGGGGGCAAGGCGTCACAAGGTGTACCCGTAGACGAGCGACAGACGAGCGATAGACGAGCGATAGACGAGATATAGATGAGCGATGGACGAGCGGTTGACGAGCGATAGACCAGGGCGGTCTATCGCTCGTCTATCGCTTGTCTATCGCTCGTCTATCGCTCGTCTATCGCCCTTCTCCCCGCGCTAAATAAACCGTTCGCCGCTTTTTGGGCCCAGGTTTCCGATGAAGGCCGCGGCATGGATCTAACCGAGGAAGTTGGAAGAATGCCTGGCCTGCCAGATTTCTCCGAATTCCCCTCCCTTCCCCCTGTCCCTGCCCCCGTTGCAGCCGCCCCTGCCCCCGTTGCGGCCGTCTTGCCCGTCCGTGCCCCCCACCCCCGCGCCCCGCCCCTGATCCCCGGGACTCGCCGCTACGGCGGGGAACCCGCGCAATATTAATTGAGAGTAACCGCGAAACCATCTAAAGCTAAGTGAAGCGATCTAAGGCTAAATCTTGACAAGAAACCAGAGCCGAAATGATTAACCAAACCGAATTGAACGTTTCGCCGCGCTATGTGGTTAACAACTGGATAGAACCAGGTGCGCCAACAATTATACATCGGATCGCAAGCCTGGCAACTACATCGATCCAGTTGGTATGTCAAAGTTACTTATGACTGCTTCCGCCCCATCTGCTCGGTTTATGAGTGCGTTTGCCAGACTTATCACTGCGCTCGCTGGACTTACAAGCATGCTTATAAGTATGCTACGTGCGGCCGCGCGCGAAGTGCTGCCTCCGGGAGCGCCGCGGCGCTGCCGCGCTTGGACGGACGGGGCTTGCGAACACCCAGCCGCCCCGCTCCTCGCGCGCGCAGGCTGGGGCTGCTGGCTGGAAGTGCCTGGGGCGCCCCTGGCGGAGCACTCCGGTCCCGTCGACGGCTCGCAGACGGCGCAGCGGGCAGATTTGACAGTGGCGCTGCATGCGGTCAGCCTGGCCGGCGCACCCGTGGAGAACATCACGGGTTCACAGCACGTGCGAAATGGAGTGGTGGCCCCTCGGAACGGGGCCTCGCCGAGAGATTGGTCGCACAGTGACTTGTGGGCACTGCTGTTGCCGTTCTGCCAATCGGGCTTCGCCGTCGCGCGGTGGGTCAAGGGCCACCTCGACGCGCTGGAAGCGGCGGAGCGCGGGGTCTCGGAGGAGGACAGGCTTGGCAACGCCGCGGCGGACCGGCTCGCTGGGGCGGCCGCCACGGCCCGTCTCCCCGCGGCGGGGCTCCTGCAGACGCGCGGGGTCCAGCTGCACGCGCTGACAGTGCTTCAGACGATGCTCGCCGAGGTCGAGCTCGCGGCCCTGAAGGCCAACCACGGCAGCGCCGGCCCTGGAGGTCCCCGCGCGCAGCGGCGCTGAGCCGGGCCCCGCCCCCGCCGGCGGCCGGGCAGACGTGCCCCGCGGGTTGCGGACGACGCGGCCGTGGCCGCCGCGGTCGCACCCCACGGCCAGGGCCGCGCGGTCGCCGCGCCGCGGCAGGGTGGCGCCGCTGCTGCGCAGGCGCTGTTTGCCGGCAGCGCCTGGGGTCCGCACGTGGCCTCGCAGGGACCTGGTTGGGTCGCCTGCCTGCGCTGCGGGTGCCGGGCGCCGCGGTGGCAGGCCCTCGCGAGCCGACCGTGTGGCGGGCGTGTGCCGGTCCTCCCGCCCCGCGCGGCCGCGCTGTTGCTCCTGCCGGCGGTGCGCGCGGGTGGCGCGGATGCAGCGTGGCGGGCCGCGCTGCGCGAGCGCCCCATTGAGAGGCCAGGGGCGCCAGATTATCTCATGCAGCGGCGAATTCGCCGGAGCGCGGTCAGGCGCTCTCCTCACCCCACCCGCCCCCTCCTTTCCTCCTCCCCTGGCCAATGGGCTTCCTCGCGCTTGTAAAAAGAAGTGTCCTCTCGCGTGTCCTGTTCAATCAAGGCCGACGGTAATTCATGGGGTCCTCGAAGCCATTGGAAGTGTAGCCCGACGAAAGACCCAACCATATGCAGCTGCGAGTGCCGCGTTGTGGGTACCGTTTTCGGTGCAGCTCCTTCTGGGGCCACGAACCGTGTGAGGGGCGTACCTAATTGGGTGCGGTTGTGCCACGCGGACCACCCCACTGGAGCCTTCGGTGGAGCATCGTCTGGGGCCACGCACCGTGTGAGTGGGTGTATCGAATTGGGCGCGGTGGTGCCACGTGGACCCTCCTGGAGCCTTCGGCGGAACTCCCTACGGGGCCACGAACAGTGTGAGGAGAGTGTCATTGAGCGCGGTGGTGCCACGCAAACCCTCCCACTTTAACCTTCGGCGAAGCTCTTTATGGGGCCACGAACCGTGTGAGGGGTTTGCCGAATTGGGCGCGGTGGTGCCATGCAAACCCTCCCACTGAAACCTTCGGTGGAGCTCCCTATGGGGCCACGAACCGTGTGAGGGGTTTGCCGAATTGGGTGCGTTGGTGCCGCGCGAGCCCTCCCACTGGAGCTTGCGGTGGACCCCCCTGTGGGGCCACGAACCGTGTGAGGGGTGTGCCGAGATGGACGCGCGGTGGGCGGAGAACCGCATGCGGACGCGGCCACTGGGGCCTTCAGTGGAGCTCCTTATGGGGCCACGAACCGTGTGAGGGGCGTGCCGAAATGGACGCACGGTGGGCGGGACACCGCATGCGGACGCGCCCTATGGGGCCTTCAGTGGAGCTCCTTATGGGGCCACGAAACGTGTGAGGGGCGTGCCGGAATGGGTACGCGGTGGGCGGGGAGGACGCATGCGGACGCGGCCATTGGGGCCTTCGGTGGAGCTCCCTATGGGGCCACGAACCGTGTGAGGGGTGTGCCGAAATGGACGTTCGGAGGGCAGAGGCAAGGAGGGGGAGGAGGAAGGAGAAGGAGGAGGAGGAGAAAGAAGGAGGAGGAGGAGGAGGAGAGGAGGAGAGGAAAACGCGGGGCACAGTCTCTTCAAAACGAGGACCCAAAAACACAGAACCATGAGTAACGGCGAAACCGCAACCTAGGGCAAACCTCCTCCCCCCCTCCTCCACATTCCAGCCCATCATGGCTGGGAGGAGCGCTCGTTTCACGGACGCTGCTGGCGATGGCGTCGTTTTCTTTGGTGTGATATGTTCCTCCTCCTCCTCCTCCTCCTCCTCCTCCCCCTCCTCCTCCTCCTCCTCATGCATGTTCCACTGTAGGTTGAGCTGTTCTTCACGTCGTTTCGACACTGGGTCCCACGTTCGCTAGTTGTTGCCCCGGGCTTGCACGGCAAGCGACGGTCGCCCATGCAGGCGCCCGGCCGCTCTGGTCGGCCGCTATGTTTGGCCTCGGCCCCGTCGCCATACCACAAAGAACTTGTCTTGCCTTGTCATGGGTGTCCTCGGACCCTTTACTGTTTATGCTCGTAGCGCGCTGGGCATTTCGATTCGCGGAGCCTCCTGGCTGTGAGCGTGTCGCCGCCTTGTCCGCCATTTGTTTCAACCAGCCGGCTCTCCCATCCTCCGTCTACCGTGCTTGTTTTTCCCGTGAGGGAAAATTGTGCGAGTACCGCTGGAGGGATCTTAGAAAGGAGTACGCACGCGCGGCTTTTCTGAGCATGGATATCCCGTTCACTCTTCCTGTCTCTCTCCTTCCCCTCCCCTCCTTTTCCCTTTTGCTTCGCACGGATACTGTTGCGGGGCACCTCTGGCTCCAGTTGTGGGTGCATTGATTCTTTGATGTTGACCTCACGTATTGCGGCTGAATAGGCCATGGGATTGCATGGGCCACGACTGGACGTCGCAGGCCGTGAGTGGGTGCTTTACGATATGTCGGGTGTTTCCCTTCTCCCCTCGCCTCTTTCCTCCGCCTCCCCCTCTTCCGCTCCTTCTCTTCCGCGCTTTAGGTTTTCGTCTCGCCTGGGAGGAACGGACGATAACGGTCTGGCGGCAAGACAGCTTGCCGATTCCCCGCTCTTATTTTAAGCATCCGGCATCAGTTCATGGGGTCATCGTTGTTTGTGGAAAAAATGGGGCATACCAGGACAATGACTAAACTTCGAACCGCCACCTGGGGGGGCGTCTTCCTTTTCTGAAGGCCGAGGAAGGCCAAACTACGAAGAACATTCTCAATTCAAAGCACGAACTGGAACCGTCACTCCGCAGGTTAATTCCGTCACTTGAAGAAGGAAACTTGAACCAGAACCAAGACCAACACCAAAACCATGACCTGGAAAGAAAACAGAACCCGAACCAAACTTAGACACGTGAATTCGTGATCTTCCAAGGCCTGGGAAAGGAACCGGAAGCACAACCGAAAGCAGAACCGACATCGGAACCGAAACGGGAAGTCAAATTTGAGCTAGAAATGAAACCACCGCCACCGAATCGATGTTGGTTCCTTTCTTCATCTTTGCTTTCCCGTCCCCCGCCCGTTGCCCACCCCCCTTGCCCCAGTCCCCGCGCCTTCCTGGCTCCCATTCCCATCTTCCTTCATACATGATCGCCTGCCCCCCTCCCACAAGTACACAATGTGAATGCTATTCTTCTCTCTCTCTCTCTCTTTCCGTTGACTACGCGAGGAAGATGTCCTGCCCCCTTCCGCGTCCTGTGACACGATGGGGTCTTTCGTGGAGCTTCAGACCGGATATAACACGCGTCTGTGAATACATATTCATTGCATATGTAAAAAACACAGCGCAATTGGAAGGAATGGAAGGGAGGGATCGGATGTCAGAGTCGGCGCGAGCGCGCCTAGCTTACCCTCCCATCTCGCCTTCTCCCTCGCCTCCCCAGCAGCCGCCTTTCGCCCGGATGGGATATCGTGGCGGAGAGTGTCGCGGGGACTGGCGAAATGTGAGGCGTTCCAGGAGGGGTCCCGCGTTGGCTACAGTTGTGCAAGCTGCCGGCTTGTGCGGACAACCCTGACGGTGAGTGGTGCGATGCTTGTGCTCCAAGCTCCACTCGCACTTCTCGCACGCAGTAGTGCGAGTCTGATTCCCATTCGCTTGCTGCGCATGTATGTTGGTAACCGCCCTACCCACTCTCCCTCATTCTTGTCGTCGGCCTCGTCCTTCGTCCCCCTCCAGGTTTCACATGTTCTGATCTGCACGACGCTTTCAACAAGCCGACGGGGTTCCTTTCTTCACCGCTCTGTGCGTGAGGGGGAGAGGGGGTGCTGAGAGTCGGTCCAGGATGGACCTCCCCTTCGAAGGTGGAGCCAAGTCGGAAACTGGAACATATACATCACCAGTGGCGGGCTGTTTTTCAATCCCAGGACTTTTTGAGGGTAGGGGGCGACGCTGGGGTGGTGTGGTGTATACTTTTTCCCCGATGTCCCGGGGAAGCAACGAAAAATGTATACACCAGGGTTCCGTATATACCAGGATCCGCTCTCCAGTGCAAACTCCAATGCAGGACCGGAAGAAGCGTCGGCGTATAGAGTTCGATTCCCTACCAAGGACTGACTTCTCGCCCTCGGGGCAAGGCCCGCGGAGGCACGCGAACGTTGAACGAGGACGGTTTAGCGTTTTTGGAGCTGGCGGGAGACATGTTGGGTCCGGCGGGCATGAAAGCGGTCCTCAAGAGACGTAGATCTTGGCATCGCTCGGACGTGTGCATTTTTCTCGGCGGGGACCATCGAGGAGCATTTTGGGCCATCTAGCGAAAAATACACGCGCGAAGGTGTCGCGCAGGCCTTGCTGCAGGTTGGAGGGAGAGAAACGAGGAATCCTGCAGCCCGCTCGCATCATGAAGCCGATTCGCCATCCCGCACTGATCGCTGAGAGAACGAGAGAGGGATAACGAGAAAACTCAAGGAGAGCGAGAGAGAGAGAGAGATCTACGTGTGTGTGCGCATCTACGAATATTTCGCGGCCTCGAGCACCAGGCACTCGCGCTCCTCCACGGGCCCCTGTCAGTGGCCGTCCTGACAGATCCGTAACCGCGACCTCGCGGGCCGGGCCTCCGCGGCCGCGACCCGCCGAATCGGGGGCGCTTCCTCGAGGATGCCACGGGCGGGGCGCACCCGTGCGGCCGCGCAGCCGCAGGATCGCGCCCCCGAAGCCGCACCGAGAGGGCGCTGGTGCGGACGCCTTCGCCGCTCGTGACGCCCGACGCCGCGGCCTCGGCGGTCACTGCGCGCTTCACCGGGAGGCTTCGCCGCGCACTCGCCGGTAAGGTCTTGGCGCCGGGATGCGCGCAGACGGCCTCCTCAGGGAGTGCCAGCTGGCCTCAAGAGGTCCCCCGAGCAGTCCCAGCGGGCCTCAACAAGCCCCCCCGGTAGTCTGGGGCGGTCTCGACATCTCGATCCTGGGGCGCGGAACGCCCCAGGGGCGCTGCCGGAAACGGCGCCCAGGTGTTGAGACAGCCCCAGACTATTCGGAGGGCATGTTGAGGCCGGCTGGGGCTACCCAGGATGCCTGTTGAGGCCAGCCGGACTATCTGGGGGGGAGCTCTGGGCACAGCCCGAAGCCTCACCATCCTTCGCCCTCCATCTCTCTTTCTGGCAAAGGAACAATCCACACCCATACCCATCGGGGGGACAAGGAGGGCCATGGGTGCGTGTTGTCGGATGGGGGTCCCCGCTCAAAAGGGGCCCTCCTTCGGGGTCCGACGGCCCGAACCCCTGACCATGGCCAGTCCTCCTCCCTCCGACCCCCAATTTGGATCGGTGTGTGTGTGTGTGTGTGTGTGTTTGTGTGTGTGTGCTGTTCGTTCGCCCGCCGTCACGCACCCTCCCAGCGGGCTCCAGGGCACGGTAGCATGAGCTCCAGGCTGGCCCTCCGGTCTCCATGAGCTCCAGGGCGAGCTCATCGCGGTTCTCCGTGCGGCCCAGGAGCTCGGATGACGTGAAGCACGCAGGGTTTGCGCTTATTCATTCGAATTTCCTCGCTCCCGGCCAACCGAAGCGGAAGACACAATAGCGGCAGTCACACACAGAACAACAACGGCAGCACAAACGGAACCGAACCGCAGTTGGCGCGAACAAGAATATTCACACGGAGCAAGCAATCGGCCCCAAAAACGAAAGCAATAATGCCGATCTTGAAAACGAATCACGTAAAATTAATATAACGTGTCCTTTTATACGAAACAACAACACATTGTGTCTTTCGTCATTCGGGCCAGACGAAAGGGGGGGATAGGGAAAGGGGGGGATACGAAGAAATCTGCTGCGTGCAGCTGGCTTCAGCCCCACCGAGGGGCCCATTCCTCGATACATGGCCGCCTCCGGCGCCAGGAGGCGCTGGGAAAATCAGCTGCGTGAGCTGATTCTCAATCCCCCCCTTTGCTATCCCCCCTTTCGCCCGGCCCGAGTCATGGCCCTCCGCCCCCTCGAGCGCCTCGGCCGACTCCGCCGCGTCCCAAGCTGCTCCCTGGAGCCGCGCTCCGGCCTCCAGGAGCTCCGCGGCCGCCTCGGCGTGCGCCACAGCTGGCACGGCGGGCGCCACGCCATGCGGGCGCAGGGCGACGGAACTAAAGCTGACCCTCCCCAAGAGGTGGCGACATTTGGCGGTTCATGGTTTCAAGAGCCAGCCGCATCGAGACGGGCTCGAGCACTTTTTCTCCTCCCTGCACTCCTTGCCGGACGCCTTGGGACCTTAGTTGCCTCGATACGCCCGTGCTGGTACGCAGCACGCACCGTCCTCAAAACATCCGTGTCAATACGTGCGTGTTGGCTCGACGCATTGGACCACGTTTTGGCGACAGTCTCGCGTCAGACCTGCGTTTTCAGTCCGCGTGTTGAGCTCCGTATCAATACGCTACGTGTTGCGCGTTGCGCACCGGGGCAGCTGAGCTTGGGACGGCGCCTCGTCCCCCGCGCGCGACGCCCAGCCTCACGCGCCGCGGCCAATACCGCCTCAGCGCCGATACCGAGCTCGGCGTGCTGCGCCCAGTCGCGGCAGGCATTGCCGCCACCCGAGGGGCGAGGCAGCACACGCCAGCGCGGTCCGCTCTACTTCACAGAGAGTTTTGTTGTTTCGTTCGCGGAGCTTGCGGGGGTCACTTCGGGCGCAGTTAACCCGCATAGCAGGGCTCGAGCCTTCACGGTGTTTGGGCGGTATCGTGGACAGTCTTCGTTTGGATGTTGTTTTTTTTTCAACCAAGGCAGAACGAAGACAGAACGAAGGCACATAAATCAGAGCGTGAATTACCTACCCCGCTTTCGCTTCCAGGCAAAACCAAGTCATACCACGCGCCTCCTCGTCCAGCGGCCTGACCAGTACAGGCCGTAGTTTGGCATCGTTTGGTATCCCTTGGAAGCGAGGGTGGTCAAAAGCGAGGTAGGTTTGTTTTCCCCCTAATAAAACAAAACGAAAACGTCAAACACTGTTTAGCTCGAGCCCTGCCGCATAGGAAGGGTGAGCGATGTTCCAAGGTTACCCTTGCATCATTCCCCTTCGGCCCATCCTTGGCCGCTTTCGCTGGCCGCGCCCCGCTCGCGAAGTGCGGACGTTGCCTTCCAAGGCCTCTGCACCCTCACCGTGCGTCCTTAGCTAGACGGGTTGACTGTGTTCTCCAAGCTGCCATTCTCTTCAGCCTTCCTCCTCCTCCCCAGAATCGCGCCGGACAGCAAAGGAGAGAAAAGCACGCCCGCGCGGCCCGCCGCCACCTGAGCTCCGCCAGGTGCGGGCTCCCGAGCTGCTCCCGCGCGCAGACCTCGCCGCCCACCGCCGGGTCCCGCGCCCGCCACCACCCTGGGCCGCGCTGGCCGCCGCGGCCCGCACGAGCGGATCAAGCGCCACCGGTCAGAAACGTCAAATTTGTACAGATTCCGTCGCGGATTTCTTCGATCGGCGCTGGGCCCCCTTGGCGGCGCCTCCGGCGCCGCCCCCGGCGCGCACCGCGCGCCAGGGAAGGGAGCCTGGCGCGGATCCAAGAAATCAGCGCAGACCTCTGAAAGCTTGCGTTTCTCCAGTGTTCCTGCCTCCAGCCAGCGTCTGGCAGCGGTCGACCGCATGCGCTGCCTGTGCCTTGCAGGCCGGGGAAGGAAATCCAGAGCCGCGCTGCGTGGCGTTGCGAGGAGGAGAGGCACGGCGCTTGCCTCGCCTGCCTCGCGCCCAGGGCAGGCTCGAGCCAACGTGGCTGCGGATGCGTGTGTATGCGTGCATGCGTGTGTGCGTGTGCGTGTGCGCGCGCGTGTGCGTGTGTGTGTGTGTGTGCGTGTGTGCGTGTGAGCATGCATGTGTGTGTGTGTTTGTGTGTGTGTGTGTGTGTGTGTTTGTGTGTGTGTGTGCGTATGCGTGTGCGCGTGCGCGTGCGCGCGCGCGTGCGCGTGCGCGTGCGCGTGCGTGTGCGTGTGCGTGTGTTGTGCGCGTGCGCGTGCGCGTGCGCGTGCGCGTGCGCGTGCGTGCGTGCGTGCGTGCGTGCGTGTGTGTGTGTGTGTGTGTGTGTGTGTGCGTGTGTGCGTGTGTGTGCGTGTGTGTGTGCGTGTGTGTGTGTTTGTGTGTGTGTGCGTTTCGTCACCGAGTCGCAATCGGCCTTTCATAAGCCCCTTCTTGACAATGGGAAAGTCATTATCTCTCCCGCGTGCTTATTTGCTGATCGGGGCCCCAGCAATATTTGGAAAATAGTGATTCCCCCTCGAAGGCCACCGCTGAGGCCTCCACCGTCGTCGTCGTCGACGCTGCCGTCGCCATCGTCCTCCTCGTTGGAGACTTCCGTCGGCTACTTGTTACCCGGTAGGACCCTCCCCCCCTTCGGTCCGCTGCTCTCTCGTCGGTTTGCGTCTCTCCTTCAAGCTGGCAACCCACACCAGGGTGGCATATGGCGCGGGGGTTCCTGCCTTTGAGGGCCCCGCGCGCGCGGGGCTCGCGCGCGGTGGTACTCGATACTCCACGCCTCGTCGCTGCGCACGAGGCCGCGATCGCCCACCTTCGTGCTCGTGACGGTGTCGCCACCTCGCCGCTGGAGGACTGAGCGTGCGTGCTGGGAGCGGTGGGCGAGGGGGTGCGGGGAGTGTTGGAGGGGTGGGGATGCGGGGGTGTCTCGGCCAGGCTGTTTTCAGTTCAGTACATGATGTAGCACCGCACCGTTCGCCAATGGTGCTGACTGCGTTTCTGCGCACGAAGAGGAGGACGCATGGTTTCATTTCTCCGCTTGGCTCCCATCTTCCTCTCCTCGCGCTCTTGCACTGCATTTTCTCGCGCCGTGGGTGCCAGGCGGCTTGCCACGCCGATGTAGGACATGATAGACGTTTTTCAAGATTGTTGCGCGGGCCGTTGTGCTGCGATACTGCACAGCTGCGGCCGCGCCTTACCGATGTGTTCTTGCTTCTGTGAGGTTTCCTACTATTCCTAGTCCCATTCGTATTC